GCCAACTGTGGCTCTTTAACTGTGTCTCCGGGTAGCAAGACAGATTGTGGCAGAGGCTTTCACTCCATTTAAATGATCACGGACAAACATAGACAAGGCACAGAGCTTATCTCATTCCCAAATTCTCTCCTAGGTCCTGCAGTAAACAGTTTCTTAAGACTGATTATTCTGTGACCCTTCTTGTGAAACTATAAAAAGTGCAATGTATGTCAAAAAGACTTCTGAAATCAAAGTAGGATTTAAAAAAATTCTAGAACTTCTTTTCTGTTAAAATATTTGTTGAGATATTTCAAAAACGCAGTAATGCATTGTCAGTATAATCTCTCCTGACATTTGAAGAGGCTTACAATGTCCAGGAGAAAGCAACACGAAACGCTTATGCTGAATGAGGTGAAACTCTCGCTTTTTATTGCCTGGGACCGCTCTGCGGATTCTTAGTGCCTGACAGAAAACAATTTAAATAACAATGATCCGATCTAAGTTTCTTATACTACAGACCATACATCTGTGGGAGACGCAGATAAGGATAAAAAATGGATTTTCATTGTCCTTACTCTGCAGAGCTGGGGGTCATGGCTCCGTTTGACACACTACAGATCTGAAGAATATAATCTGGTATGAAGGAAAGTGCACTAATGTCTAATAAAAAGCAGTGTTTTGTAATGCAGGTAAACTTAACTGTTATTTATTTATTTATTTATTTATTTTTTGCAGTTTTTGGCCTGGGCTGGGTTTGAACCAGCCATCTCTGGCATATGGCACCAGCGCTGAACTCCTTTGAGCCACAGGCACCACCCTTAACTTTAATTTTAATCTAACCTGTTAATCAGGAAATCAGTTGCTTCATACACGACTATTCACTGAAACATTTGTTCTAATGTGACCCGTAGGTAGCTGGCCTTTGTTCTTTGGCAATGCCTTTGTGTGGGTACCACAGTCAATACGTACATTCTACCCCACATATGCATAAATGTATTCATGATCTATGTATATTTGAATTAATAAAAAAAATAAAAATACATAAGGGAAAAATATATAAGGAAAAAAATAAATTATCAACAGTTAGATGATAGGTTTGGTTCCCAACTCTACCACTCCCTGTGTGAAGCTTCAAAAAATCACTGTAAGACCTGGAGACTCAGTTTTGAATTTATGAAGGATCGAGGGAAATATTTACCAAGGCCCAGAATTTCCAGGATTGCAAAGTTAGAAGGTACATGAGAGTATGCCAAGGATATATGTGTACTTTTTACCCATTTCTACAAATTTTTGGGTGTTTTTCACTCTCTGTTGACATTTTCTATTCCACCCCAGTACGCACATTAATTATGATACTGAAATATTTAAATGGTAATTTTTTTAAGTAATGCAATTAGCTAGCAAGAGGCAATTACAAAAGTCTTTTGAAAATAGTTGAAAGAGTCTTTACACAGTTTTAAGCCTTAATAATTTGCTAAAATATTTTGTAATCGTTTGTCATTTCCAAAACATCCTTTAGAAATGCACACTTGATTCAGGTATTCAATCACATCATGGGAGCTTGAGATTTCTTACACGTAATTTATTATGTTAAAATCTAAGAGTTTTAGGTGCAGTTAATAATGTTTTGACTAGGTAGCCATCAGCACCTTCAATTCTCTTTTAAAAATATCTTTTCCCATCTGACTGTATGTTGTGGCTGGAAACCGACAATCTTGCAAACAAGACTCGCAGAGGCCGAGTGTCCGTGGTTTTGTAGATAGAAACAAAAAGGTGAAACAGGCAGAAAAGATAATTACTCCTGTCAAATTGATTATGCCTCAGACTGAATACCGATCGTGTCCAATATTTCTCTCTCCTATTTTTAGAATATTTGTGCTACTATATAATCGAAACTGTCCCTGTAAGTGGATGTCCACCTATAAGTGGATGGACAGAGTCAGGCTCTCCAGCAGTGATTTAGGGAGGGAGGAGGGGGGTAACGTGACCTAAAGCTCCCTGGACGCCCCAGAGCTCACGGAGTGAGGACATCCACGCGGGAGCCAGGAGGGGCTCCCTGAGACAAGCCTCCTCTGTGTGGGAAGATGAGTATGTGGGGGTTCCCAGCTGTGGTGTGAAACACAAAGGAGACGTCAGAATTCAGAGACAGCGCAATGCCCTCTCCTCAGTTCTGAGTCCAGGTGCCTGAAATTCCAGTGTGCACAGATGTCCTTCTGGATAGTATTTGGACAACTATGAGAAAATAGGATCTAGTATTTATAAATCAAGAACTACTCTATATTACTGCATATAGTTGGAGGGAAACTAGGAAGCAGTTACTAGGGTTGGAAACGTAATGAGAGATTTAATAAACCACAAGCTGATCCAGATGTGTTTTCTGTGATGCAGCCAC